TATATATATATATATCCCCATTCCCTGCTGTCTTTTATGCCCCCCTTAGCAGCACCACACACACACTGCCAGCATTATTTTACATGTCCTATTCACATGTGCCAGAGTTCCAGGAAGTGAAGGGAGAAGGATTAATCTGCCCTCAGTAAAAATAGCGACTTGCAGAATACTGGGGAAGAAAAGAGAAATAGGGTATGCAAAGAATAAAAAGCCTGCAAATAACTAAGTATCCGTTTGTAGATTTGTCATCACTAAATTTTTCTAACGGTGCCTTTGATGTTATTTTAAAGATATGGGTAAAGTTCCTCTTTAACACATTCTTGCCTTGGTATATATTATCCTATTACAAACATGTTAAAGTTCAACATGACAAAAGCAATGTATCATTTACCTTATCAGGTCATTTTACTGGCACATCTTACAAGAATAGGTAATCAAACTTAAAAATGAGAATAGGAATGCAATTTAATGTTTAATTTAGCACTTAAAATAACAGAATACCGCTGACTAAATATTCTGTAAAATGGCAGATTAAATGGATTGACTGATTTTGTATTGGCTAGCTGCTGTAGTTTTTTAGACCATTACATAATTACCCTGCTCAGCATTGCGTAGCATAATATCATATAAGAACACATGCATAAACAATATTTTTTAGCTTCTCTAGCTGTGAACATCTTGAGTCGCTTATAATTAGCACCCACACTGAATATTATCTTTGTTGCACAACCTGTGCCCATATTTCTTTTTATGTTGCTGATGAGCACTCAAACCATTTTTCTATTACAGTGTTTTCTTTTTTGTTTATTTTGTTTTTAGTTTCAACGATCATATGAATATTCACCCCCATTTCGGTTTGGTACAGTCCCTAATGGAAGCACTGAAAGAAATATTAGAAATAATTATCCTGAAATGCATCAGTATATGGTGAAGTTTAACCAGAAAGGAGTGCAGGATGCCCTTGTCAGTCTAAAGACTGGGTGAGTTATCCTACCATTCCTTTATTTCAAATGTGTATTTTGAAACAGCAAATATCTTTAAAAGTATAAGTATAACAACAATATGTAAAGTGCTTGTTGTGGGTTTCAGTTAACTTTGGCTCTTTAAGTTCTCTGCAGGTAATGTCACTCTTTGGAATACTATCACATACACTATGGGGTCTATTCACGAAGCTGCCGAAGGATCTGGCCGTAGCTTCGGCCGATCCTTCGGCTAGCTTTGGCCCCAGGACCCCTTCGGTTCAGCTCCCGATCATGGCTGAGCCGTGCTGAAAGCCGAAGCTGGCCGAGCGGCCGGCCGACAGCCTGCTTCTGACAGCTGGGCGGAGCCAGCCGTGATCTTATGGCTGGCTCCGGAAGCGGAATTAGCCGTACCAGCCTGAAGTGAATAGCCAAACAGTGTTCGGCTCACTTCACTTGAGATCGGTCATTCACTCGGCTGCCCTTGGCAGCTTCGTGAATAGACCCGTATATCTCTGCTGAAACTGAACCTACTTTACTATTGATTTACCATATACTGTACTGTGCTGCATAGTTGACTTGTCATAATAAAAAAATTAACAGTTTACACTGAATATTACAATTTATTAGTCAGACGCCCGCAGAAAGAAGCAGTAGTTGTTAAGCCGCAGAATATCTTGTAATTCTACTTCCACCTTTTGTTTTGGTTTACATCTTTTGTTGCTTTTTCCTAAATGCAAACTTGTATATGTCAAATACCTGTTGTGCAGCACAATAAAGTGGTCACAAATAATCAGTGTTTGCAGAGAATGCTCTAGTGCTATTATATCACAAACTCTAATGTGTGTCATGCATGATGACAGCCTATTGCCTGCCTTTATTTTCAGACTTATTAGTTACAACTTCTTTACAATGCACACTCTTCAATGATATCCTCTGAACTCTATATTTCTACCTAAAACCAATGTGCTGTGAGACAACTGTTTAAGAGACAACTGTTTAAGAATAGGAAAAAGTGCTGTAAAAAAGAGAAACTGGTCACATGACTTTAATAAGCTATATTTCTGGGACCTCCAAGTAGCACAGATTACTCTCCGCAGGGTTATGCATTTGAAGAATAAAAATGTGGCAAACTTTATATAATTTACTGTGGTGTTCTGGTGAGAACAGATAGCAATATCCACTTTTCATTATAAACCAGCTCACTAAATGTTACTGGAAGCAAGTCTTCCTATGTATACCCTATATGACTACATGTATACTTCACTGTAAAGCTCTTGGACAGTATCTCTTGCACCGGGAAACATTTTCACGGTATGACTCTGTTTTTGTATCCCAGCATACATATGTTTGCATAATTGAATGCACTTGTTCCACTAGTGTTAACTGCATTTCTCAGTGACCTAATAATTCTCATTCTTCCCATTTTCTGAAATTATAGCTGCTGCTTTCAACATTTTAATCTAAATGAATTATTAAAGTCTGAATTATCTGATTTATAGGCATGTAAGAAGGATTTTGCAATTGTCATTCAATACAGCATGTTCTTTGTAAAGGAAAAGCTATAAATCTGGATTTAAAGCACTGCTATATCTCATCATGGTCTATCCAGTACCTTAGTTAATTAGAAATGTCTGAAGCATTACCTTCCCTACTAACTGCATGTCTCCGCAAAGAAAATGACACACTAAGATTAGCATTGGGGGCTCCAGGTATTATTTAAAAAAATATTGTCTCACATTTATTCACAGTCTTGCAGAATTAGTCATAATAGCCACATTTGGAAGGACGCTTTAGTGTAAAAGTAACTTACACACTTTTTACAGAATCTGGTGGTTTCCATGCCACTTAAACTTTTGAGATTAACATCATCCAAATTCAAAGGAGGGATAAAGACTGCCATATAACCTGTGCCAACTGAATCAATTGACAAAACTACATTATGAAGGACTTTAGAAGTACTGTCAAAGGTCTTAGGCCTGATGCACTGTGTAAACTGTAAGCAACAGTACCGCACTAGAGCCATTAAAGCTCATGTCTATACTGCATTGCATATTGGTGCCTAATTCACTTTAGAGAAAATGGCAGCAAGACTTCTCGCCTTCCAACCCACCAGTATATACCTGAACTGTTCCACATGCCTACCTGCTATGTGTGCATCAGAACTTCTATTCTCTACTGCTCTTTTGCTCTGCTCTTTGCAGATTTGTACAAATGTATGATTTTGCCTTTAACAACTTAGTATTTTATTTGCCATGTGGCTTGCTTACGTGATTTTTTGTTAGAGAAACCTTTAAGAAAACCTTCCCATGTTGTTTTTGCAGCTATGAGCTAGCCACAAGCTACCCATATTGACCAATGAGTGAATGGCATGGAGAATCAAATGAAAGGGTTTAATAATAGCTAAGGAGTCCAACATGGTGTAAAACCTAATTTAAAAAAGCTATTCATTTTGCATTTGATATTTGTGCAGCATAACCCTTCTATAAATGTTGTGATTTGAAGATTTCTGCACAAAGTGGGAAGCTTAAAAAAAACAAACAAAAAAATCACTTTATGTACTAAACCAATTTAAAATAGGCCAGACACACCCTGTTGCTTTAAGACCATGTTTGCACAGCCATTGTCAATCCATATTGCTCTTCAAGCAACCTTTGTCAAGCCAACCTCGGTTTTTTGCTGTCCAGTGGCTTTCCACAGTGATTTGTTTAGCAACAAATGTATTTCATTAAATTAGCTTAGTGTAAAATAATAACATGATAAATCAACATCGTGTCCTTATCTTACCTCCTTTGTGTTTAATCAATGACGGGTACATTACCAGTCATTGATAACATTTTCCATTGATAAAACCCTGACACAGTCAGTTTATTAATAGAAACCATATGAATGGCCTGTAATGTATACACAGGCCATGGATTAAATACAGAAAAGGTAAATGGAAGACATGATAATTGATTACTTATATCTGGTCAGTTTACACTAGGTAGAAATTAAGCATTTGTTGTTAAACAAAGCAATTTAACAAGTGAAAACAAAGATTTCATAAAAATAAAAAAAAATCCCTTTTCCTTTTTTCTGCATATTATTGGAATATTTTTCTATTTTTTGACAACAATAAACTTTACAACAATAGTAAAGCAAGTATGTGACCAGTCATTTTTGGAGGTATTTTTCTTTTGCTTTTTAAATTAAATTATGAAACTTTTTATATTACAAAACACTTTGTTGGACCCTTCACTTTTGATTTTAAAAAATGGGAAACAAAAATGGTATCTGGATGGCAAATTGAAGAGTTTAAAAGACAGAACATCATTTTTTTTTTGGTGTGGTATACTGTAGCACAAACTAAAGAGTAGTAAAAAATGTGTATTGTGCTGAATATTTTAATTTATGCAAGGTGTTGTTTACACCCCTTTTTTTCTAAAACACTTTAGCTAAACACAAACTACACCCAAAACAAACAAAGGAATACTTACATAAACAAAAGACACTCAGGATTAATTTAACGCCTAAACAAGTGTTAGAATCAACCGTGACCAAATTTTTGTGAAGCAAAAATGTTTAATTTAACATGCAAATGATGGGGCATATTTATAAACTGCATTATGGCCACTAGATTGTGGAAACACCACATTAGGGCCACTAGATAGAGCTGAGGAGCATAGGAAATAAATACTTATTTAATGTGTTATTTTCCTAATATTACATTTGATTTAAAAAGCAAATAATACTAAGGACATTCTTATTTGCTTCCATGCACATGGAAGAATCATTTACAGAGTTTCAAAGGACAAATGGCTACACCCTATGAAGATTATAGTTAAAATACTACTGGAATCATGCGCACACACCTGAAAATAAAACAAAGTTGCCTTTGTCAATGCAAATGCAATAATCAGATTAGAAATAAGTGTTCTATTAATGCAGCACATTTTATAAGTTTGTGCTTTTACCTAAACAATAAATAAAATAACTATGATGTGTGATAGATTGGTTTGTCAGTTTTAGATAGATCAAGATGGGTTGAAACACTGCAATTATTAAATGTGTTGCCAATTCAACAAAATGCTGCCTGTGGTGACACATTTAAGTCGTTTGGCTCATATTGAGTTTTCTGCTCTGTTGCACTGAAGTACCAATATTTGTCAAACCTGTCAATATTTTATAGACCAAAGTTGCTGCATACTGGTAAGATTGAACATGGTACAGGAAAATAATTTTTCATAAAGAACATTTTATTAGAGGCGCTATTACTGAATGTAATGAAAAAGCAAAGTTAAGTTAATAAAACACTAGATTTGAACATATCCCACATTTACTGATACACTGTATGCCCAGTTGAGTTACTGTAGCTAAACCAATAAAGTGGACTTTATTATTTTGATGTCACATAGTTACCTGAAAGATTTTAAAAGGAACAGTTGTGTTACTTAAAAGTAAGCTGGTTAAGGAGTATGTAAAAGGCAAAGATTTTTTTTAATGTTTTGGATAAAGTGGGAAGGGCTAGGCTATACCATCTTTCAAATTTGTATTGTTCTTAGTTGTCACTAGAGCAGGAAGTAAGTGTAAATCATTTAATGGGGACAAATTTTGCAGTGACAACTGTCTTAGATGTCAAGTCCACTCATTCTGGAGAGATGTCCTCATAATTTCTGTTGCATCTGCAAGACAAGTTTTGAGTGAAAATCTTCATAGCGAGAAACAGACAGCAGCAAATGACCTGTTAAGAGTTTTATCCATTCCCAGCATTATGCAAAAAAAAGTTTGACTATACATACAATTAGGGATGTCCCAATGCCACTTTTTCAAGCCCAAGTACAAGTACATCCCCTCATGTACTTGCCGATACCAATTACAGATAATAAATTTTCCTGTATTGGGGCTCTTGCTGCCGGTGGCCATTTTGGGTAGGACAGACTGCACTGTAAGTAAATGGAAGTGATTTGTTGGACACTAGAGTACAAACTGTCCTGGACTGAGTCTCCAGCCGGCGGCGGCCATTTTGGCTTGGACAAAGA